AGGAGTACCAACGTAGTTTGAAAAAAGTACTGTCAAAGTTCACCTTACTAACTTATTGTGTGGTACACCACACGATAACGCAGAATGAAACAATTACTACTATATACTACTAGATACAAAATCATAGAATCATAGAATGGTTTGGGTTAGTAAACTAAGCCTGTGTAGTCCAGATGGATATCAAAGGCCCTGTAGCTCAGTCAGAGCTGTGAGGTTACAGAAGGATACAGAAGTTATAGAATGAAATTACTACTATATACTACTAGATACAAAATCATAGAATCATAGAATGGTTTGGGTTAGTAAACTAAGCCTGTGTAGTCCAGATGGGTATCAAAGGCCCTGTAGCTCAGTCAGAGCTGTGAGGTTACAGAAGGATACAGAAGTTATAGAATGAAAAATGTTACTGGCTTTATTAGGCAAGTCTATTGTACGATCACGGTAGTTTGCTATAATTCATAGAATCACAGAATCATAGAACAGTTAGGGTTGGAAAGGACCTTAAGATCATCCAGTTCCAACTCCCTGCCATGGGCAGGGACACCTCACACTAAACCATGCCACCCAAGGCTCTGTCCAGTCTGGCCTTGAACACTGCCAGGGATGGAGCATTCACAACCTGCCTGGGCAACCCATTCCAGTGCCTCAACACCCTCACAGTAAAGAACTTCCTCCTTATACCCAATCTAAACTTGCGCTGTTTAAGTTTTAACCCGTTACCCGTCTTATCACTACAGTCCCCGATGAAGAGTCCCTGTCCAGCATCCTTGTAGGCCCCCTTCAGATAATCTACTGTGTTCTGCATGCCTTTTGTAGCCTGGATACAGCAATATCAAGCACACTGCTAAAAATCAAGAGAAACCTGCAGAAGCAATTTACAGGTCAGCTGGAACACATTCTGTCTCTTTCAAAATATTAGTAGCATATGTTTCTTAACATCAGATTTTTCATAAGATGCAAAGGCATTTTAGTTATTTGATGGCTGAATTTTGTAGTAATGAAATTAAGGTAAGTAAAAGGATTATAGAACGCTTGTTAACAGCAAATAGTCTACAGTAAGCCCAGAACACACTCTTTATACTACAACTATTATTTACCATATCTATTTTATATAGCTTCAGTTTCTCACATAACTTTAAAAAAAATAAATTGTGTATTTGTGGTAAGCAGAAATTTAATTTTCCCTACCAAGCACAACCTACAAAACCTTCTCGAACAAAGATGCTCTTGGCCGAGGAAGGTGGTACCTCACTGTTGTATCACTTGTTTGGAAACATGAATTCTAAGCTACTCAACCTTGAAAAAGAAAGTATAGAAGTTATATAAGAAGTTATTCTACACTTTGCAGTTCTTTGATTCTCCTTAAATCCCTTGGTATTTTTCTACTTGTGGAAAATGGAGTTGGAGAACAAAAGTAAATGGTAACAAAGTAAAATAGAAGCCTGTAAGTTAGGGAATTTGGAATTCCAACACATCTTCAGGGACAATGTATGTATTAAATACAAAGAAAACAAGAAAAGAATATATCTGCTTATTCAAATACCCATATGTTTGGCTTAAAGTCATCAAACACTGGCCTGCAGCATTCATGGCTGCAGTATTTTATACTTCTCTACAGATTAAGTTGAATAGCACTTACTTTAAAGCTACAGGATTGGGGTAGGATGGAACGTATGTTAGCTTAAAAAGAAAACAAATTCTGTAACAGTCTGATCTTATTTGTCATTCTTCTTAGTGAATCTTTGCTGGATGCTCCAGCATTCTCGTATTGATAACTACTACATGGCAAGACTCAGGCTTTTGTCTCTCAACCAGCCAGTCACCTCATCTAGAAAGTAGTGTCTGATGGATGCATGTAGTGGTCAGGCAATACAGCATGATCACTGGCTGGTCCCTGTCCTACTTAGCTAGCTTTTCACTGAAGAAAATGCTGAAATTTTGAGTTCCTCTTAGTTGTTTCTCAGAAATTTAGAGCATCAAGTTGAAGCAGCAACTCAAAATTCATCTGCCTATTTTGGGGCACGCACATTGGGCAACATTTATTTTCATGTTTCAAAGTATTCTTTATACTTACAATGCATAGGAATGGCTTGATTTTAACAGATAAAGTTTAAAAAATAGTTACTCAGCAAAAAAGAACTGGAGTGCCTGTCTGTAAGTCACAGCTGTGCCTGTGTACCAGTCTGCTGCTATCATTTAAAAAAAACCCAAACACACACTACAGCCTTCTAAGGAAATTTTGCATTTTGTCTCTATTTGTATCACAACCGTTGCTTTTTTACAGTCATCAGATCATAAAATATTTTAGCTTGGAAGGATTCTTGAAGAGCATCTAGATCCAACCACCTGCCATGGGCAGGTACACCTTCCCCTAGACCAGGTTGCTCCAAGCCCCGTCCAACCTGGCCCTGAACACTGTCAGGGATGGGGCAGCCACAGCTTCTCTGCACAACCTGTGCCAGTGCCGCACCACCCTCAGAGGGGAGTATTTTTTTTTTTTAATATCTAACCTAAATCTCCCCTCTTCCAGCTTAAATCCATTCCCCCTTGTCCTGTCACTGTATGTCCTTGTAAAAAGTCCTTATAAAATGTCAGTAATGTTTCTCTGAGGTTTTCTGTATGCATTTGTTGCTTAAAGTATCAGACCAAACTTAAGATTTTTTTCACAATACTGTATTTACAATACGTGGTCTTTCTTTATTGTATTTTAGGTGCATATTATGAATTGTTCATATTTTCACATGAGAAATATTTATCCCCTTCAGCACTTACAGTTGCAAGCTGTCTGAAGCAATAATGTACTGAGCTAGAACAGATTCTTCTTGTGGCTTAGGGAATTTTCCTTTCTGGGAGTTCTGTTGGAGAAATTCAACTCAGAATTTAAGCCTTTAAGTGTTATAAGGAAGAAAAAGCTGCTTGTGAGACTTGTATTGCTCTTTCACAAACCTTAGGGGTTTTGACTTAAGCTGAGCTGTTTCAGGCATCAACTCCCTGCTTTGAAGTAGTTTTAAAATGGTACGTTCCAATTTCCACAGTTTATTTCATACTTTCTAAAAAAAAAAAAAATCCATAATTCTGTTCAGTTCTGCTGGTGAACAGTTTAGTGCTGTTCCAGATAAAATATATTCAAATGCCACTTTATGTCTCTCTGTCCATATTTGGAGAGTACGTTACTTTAGTCACTCCTATATAACGAGAACACGAGGATATGGGTGCTGCAAATGTAAGAGCTGGAGATTCAAAGATTGCAGAACTGCGAAAGTAACATGATTTCTGAACCAGTTGTCACTGCCCTCAGAATTCTGTTTAGCTGAAATGAAACTAATGTCCTTTTGGTTTTCATTCACTGCAGCGATTCCCTGCAGAATTAAGAACCCAGTGCAGCATCCACCGCAGTTAATGACATGACATGACAAGGAAAGCTCTTAAGGGGTCTGCAGGGGGAAAGTAAGTTTAAGAAAATACAGAAGCACCTTGGAAGCACCAGGTTGCAAGAGAACAAAGTCATAACGTGTAGAAGATCTCTCTCTGTGATCCTGCTCACCAACCACACACCCCACCTTGCAGCCCCACACCTTCATTTCATTTTACCATGCTCCTGAATTACAACATCTCCTGGAAATGCAGGTCCTGAGGAGTGTCCCCTCCCAGCCTCCCCCCCAGTTTTATTGCTGAGACAGTATGGTCTCATATGGTCACCATATGGTGTGGAACATCCCTTGGGACAGTTGGGGTCAGCTGTCCTGGCTGTGTTCCCTCTTGTGCACCCCCAGCCTCCTCACTAGTGTGAGGAGCAGAAAAGGCCTTGGTTCTGGGTAAGCACTGCTGAGCATTAACTAAACCATCCATGGGCTATCAGCACAATTTTCAGTACAAATCCGAAACATCAGCCCATACAAGCCTCTACAAAGAAACTGAACTCCGTCACAGCCAAAACCAGTACAGGTATCCATGCCGCAACTCAAGGAAATCAGTTGGCAGAGACTGAAGAAGAATCAGGAGCTACTCCAGTGACACACTCACTCAGCAAAGGTTTAGCACATGCACATACAAAAACAGTTCATATAACAACTATGTACATCCACTTTAGGTATATCATGTGTTAGTATTCCTTCTACTCAGCAAAACTAAAATGAGATTGAGAACTTATATCCATCATATTCAGAATAACGGAAACAGAATAAAACTGAAATTATGTTGACTTTTTTTGTATTTTTATGAAATCTGTACAGAAAGCACTGCAATCTACCAAAGGAGCACAACAGAAGAAATTATTTTTAAATTAAATAACTATTAAGAAGCTAAGAGCACATCTGATTTAAAAGCTTGCAGCACACAAACAGTTCAGAAATAAAGTGGCACCTGCAAATTTGTTTTACCTTCAGAAAATTATTTTTTGCGACCATTCTGATTTTTCAGATAAACCATATTTTATATTCATACTTAAAGATTCTCCTGTCAAATATAAAAATTATATCTACAACTGGACACTAAAAGGCCCTCTTGAAATTGTGTGGTGGAAATTAATTTATAAAGCTGATTTTGCTGCTGGAAAAAATCTGTTCTATAAAGAAATACTACAAATTACTTCCAATGAACATTCATTTCTGAAGCAATTGAAATAGCTTCTTTTTAAAAAGAATTACATCAAAACCACCTGAAATTGCTTGAAATTTCATAATGAATACTAAAGAATTAGGTCTCATTTTTAAAATACATTCACAATCCCTTGAAAAAATTGGTTTTCCAAAACAGTTATTTAGTGCTCCAGCCACAGGCAACCCTTACTGTAACTACAGAAGAAAACCTGCAATTTAAGAGTAGTTTGTGAAGGCAAGGTGAAGAAGGGACGAAAAAAGAAAGAAACCGAACACTAGAAGATACTCAACTAAAGTGCTATGCTACTACCCAATTAGTTTCAAGAAGAGTTTGGCCTTTAGAAAGAAATCAACATAACCAATGTAATGAATCAGTAAATAATTAATTGAATCATGCTTTGCTAATGTGAAAAAACTGCTCCAAGCTACTTACCCTTTATTAACTGTTCATAGAATTGAGGCTCAATGGCACCAACAGCCACGAATTTTCCATCGGAAGTCTTGTAGGTTTCATAAAAAGGCGCACCACTATCTAGCATGTTCTCACCTCGAGGTCTGTTCCAAAGTCCCAGATTCTGTGATTTCCACAGGAAAGAACTTATGTATGCTACTCCTTCCACCTTGAAGGTTCAAAGGAAAAAGCAGCAGCTTCAGTAAATTATCTGGCATGTTACCTTAACTCTACATAAAACAAAACAGCAAAAACCTACTGCCAGTTCAGTCCTTTGTTAAGATTTTTAATGACAAGATCACTTGTAAGCATCTTAATTTCTTAAAATTCTCAATTACTGGTCATATTGCATACATGAAGTCATCTAGAATTAGAGAGTAAGAAGGAGCATAAATGTAATAATGCAGCTTCAGAGGGATAACACACTTTCAACATACAAAGTTTGTTAGTTTAGCAAGTTTGAAACACTAGTAATTCAAGGAGAACTACCCACAAAAGAGAATGTAAGTAGGTGATGGAACAAGCTTTTTGGTGCTACAGAACATTAAGTAATCTGACAGCCGTCTGGAAATCAAGATGTCTATACCAGTCTGTTAAGTATCACATTTTTATCTTAACATTAACTTCTTTGAAGTTACAGATTATAAAGAGACTGCTATTTTTAGAATAAAACTGGAAGGAAATCAAAGGTTAAGGCTCTCTTTTACCATGGGAACTGGGAAGCTCATCTCCATCACTAAGTTAAAACGGAAATTATTCTCCTAATCTCATTGCTGGCAGGTATACAGACATAAGGTTATCCTAAATAGGCAAATGTTTGATGCATATGGCACTAAAAGAAGAATTACTAAACCTGTTCACTCCTTAAAATTTTGGCTAGGTGGAGTACAATCATATGAAACTTTAGTTTGTTCAGCCTTTCAGTAATTCTCAAGCTCATACCAGTCTTCCCAAACAAAATCACATCCTACAGTTCTGCTCACCAGCAGCATCTATTCTGTTTTTACAACTGCATTAGAAAACCTGTGAGAGAAGGTGAGGCAGTAGCAGCATACAGCCAGAAACACTGCAGTGGAACAAAGGAAAACATAAGCTGTGTGTTTTGAGTATCATTTTGATTCACACATTTTCAGCTGTGCAAAATTAACCTAATGTTGTCTATAGAGAAAATCATACAGATTGGACCAAAATAAAAAGCTACTGAATTTTCATGTGGAAAGGTCTATTAGTTTCTACCTTTCTAAGCAAGAACTTAAAGCACGCAAATCTTTGAAGTATGCCTGCATGAAGGCTTCTTCATTTAATGTGTATCACTTGGTGTCTTTCTGAAGTGCCTGCCACAAGGAAGACAGGAACACTTTTGCCCTACTTGTCATATGTTAAAGTCAGTTAAAATACTTTTGTATGAGAAAATACTGTATGCCTTCCCCTATATGTTTGCAAAATGATTGCAGGGATATCAAAACAGTACTTTACTAATGATCTCTTACACTGCTCATACTGATGAGAAAAAACCTAACAAGCAACAAACCAAACCAACCCCCCTTTCCCCCCAAAAACAATCTGAAGTAAGGTTTCATTTCATAATAATAGAAGGGAATAATATCACAATAAGCTCTAACTGCAAATTAGATTTTGGTTCTGATCAAATAATAGATAGGGATACTACCAGAATAAGCTCTAACTGCAAATTAGATTTTGATTCTGACAGAACTACTTATATACAGTGCTACTTGCCCTGGAAACACTTAAAAGTAAAATAGCTCGTGGTTTGGACTAGTATAGGGATTATAGACATATCCTGGTTGGACAACTGGACAGAGAGATTCCACCTGAGGCCCACTGCAATTCAGAGACAAGTATAACGGTGTCTAACAGCAGCAGCAAACCTCCAAAGGCACATCACACACACACTAATGTCACTTTCTTTCAAAAAATGAAAAGCACAACATGGGGAGACTCCATTTAAGACAAACTGCAAAGTGATTACAGTAACAGTTATAGGTTTCATTTAATGGTTCCCTCATGCTAAAAGCAGTCTCTGAAGCAGGGACAAGAATTCAGAGGCACTGGGTGACCTGACCTGTCTGCTACACGTCTTCTGTTCCTTCTTCAAAGTGAAAGAGTTCAAACAAAGCTGAGAATGATTCTGTATCAACCTCATCTTTATCCTCATGACAAAAGAATGCCTCTAGGCTGTAAAAGCTTTGGTTTTGAATATCTCCAGGCTGAGAAAAACTTGGAACCCCAGACTTCCATTGAACAGCTCAATGCTCTTGCCACGGGGCTATTGCACAAGCTGTCATTACCACCATCATCTTCTGCAGCTATCTTTTCACAAAGAGCCACACTTAATCAGAGGCCTACCATCAGAAGACACCGTCTGAATTTGGATTGAACCTGAAGTATGGCCCTGACTCACATGCTCCTATTTCAGTATGGTGCAGCAGTGCAGACATACAATTGTGCCTACTGTATCACATTGCAGTGTTCACCCCACATCCTACTCAGCACATGGGAACTATGAGGTCCACTCTGAGAAGTCTAAGAAAGATTCTATGATACCTCTAATCAATGAGAAGAGACAGCAACTAACATAAACTGATTCAGACCAGGCATTTCATTCTTCTAAGGTAGACAGCTGAAACACAGGATTCAGCATCTACTTTTTGCACAGGGCAACAATAACACTGGACACTGCAATTAGGTGATGCAATTTTAACCCTTAGCCTGATCCTCTCTAAGCAATTTTTGTACCAGTTTAGTTTCACCAAGTAGAGGGCTTCCTTGTGTGTATTTTACTGATTGTAAGAATGCTCACAAGCCATTTTCCAGCTTTCAGCATGGTAATTAGAAATAAAAGATAAATCACAAACTGTTCTATTGCAAAAAATCAGATCTCAATCTAGAACTACTGACCTCAAAGACAATGAATAACCGCGTTTTCAGATTACTTCAGAAAAATAGGCATTGTAATAAGTGGGAAAAAAACAAACAAGTGGTCAGTAAAACAATCCACAAAGATGAAAACTTAACAAAAATAATCCAGATGACACAAAGCTGTTGAAACAGAAATTCAGCTTCCCTATTCTGCCACAGAAAATTTCACCATGTGTCAGAGTCCTTAGGTATTCAGGCTACCTGAACTGTGCAACAACTTAAGTAATAGGCCTTTAAAGTAAAAAAGAATATTAAAATGACAGCTGAAATGATGCTGTGTTTCGCTTTTGAAAATATCTACTTCCATGAAAGAAGCTTAAGATATAAAAACAGGCTCATTGACCCAGCCTATTTAACTGTCTTTGCTGTTGATGGGACATGTACGGTTCCCATTAACTGCTCACTGAAAGTCTTTTCAAGTGAAAGGAATATAACAAAATGACAGATAAAGCACATTTTTTGATAGTGGACAACACCCCTCCATTTCACAAGACACCAGAAACATCAGCAGAGAACTGTAAATTCCACATCTACAATGAGACAAGAAAAAATCGAAAGAGGGAAGTTTTGAGGGCTTAAAAAAACCCTCACAAAAAGCCGTTACACATTCCATTCCCAGTAAGCCACAGATCTCATTAGGCCATTAGCAGGCTTACATTGATTCTTCTTGTAACAAATTCTTTTAATAATTTAAAGTACCAATAGTGAAAATAAGGTAATACTCTAAACTGCATGAAATACCTTTCTAAATATTTGAAGACCTGTCACAATTCTCCACAGTTCTCGCTTCACAAATATGCAGACTCCTTCAATTTTCCTTTGTAGGTCATGTTTTTAGATTCAGGTCACTTTTGTTGTATTTATTGGACTTCCTCAAATTGACCTTAGAAATGTTGAATAGAAACTTTGCTGACTCTACTTCCTGTTTATACATCCCAATACAGTATGCATGTGTTTTACAACAACATGATATTGTTCACTCATGTTCAGCTTGTGACTACTATAAACCCCCAGGATTGTACTTCAGCCAATTGTTTTCATACAGCCTTTGTGCAGCTAATTGTTTCTGCCTAGAAGAACTACAGAGCAGTGGTCTCCATGAATTTCAGCCAATTTTCTTCAGGTCATTTCTCCAACTTGACAAGGTCATTTTCAGTTCTAATCCGAGCGTTCAACATTCCTGTAGCTCTTCCCACATGCATATAATTTGTAAATCTACTAAACACAATCACTCATCTGTTATTCAGCTTATTGAAGAAAACATTAAGAGATATTTGTAGAATTCAACTTGGTAAGCTTTTTGTTTTGACAATTGCTAACAACTATTGTCGAGGTAAAAACATTAGACCAGTTTTGCACTGATACCATAGGATTTTTATGTAGACCATAATGCTGTGGCCTGCTTCTGAGAATGTCATGTGAATTTGCCAAAATTTTTTTGAAGTAAGCTGAGATCTCTTGCTATGCTTTTCTTTACAAGACCTCTTCAACAAAGCTATTCTGTTCAAATAATGTATTATTTTAAAACTTATATTCAAGTCCAAATCATAGCCTTCACTAACACTTTGAAGGGAGGTCAGATTTTAATTGCAATGCTCTTTAGAAACAGAAGAGAGAGACAGAGAGAAAAAGCACTTGCAGGTAATGAAGGTTTCAAGGATAAATATAAATGTGAATTTTTCCTCTTTGTCTAAGTAGGTGGCCTTGCAGTGAAAAAAACCCATGGTATTCATTATTAAGCTAATTTAGCCTTTTCATCCATTTTATGGCACATTAACGCGAAGTGTGTGAAGCTGACTTCTTGGCAATAATCCACAGCAGTGTAATTATTCTAGGAAGCAGTGGCTATAGTAAGCCATGACATGACCTGTCATAAATTCATAACCAGATGTACCTTGGATAAAGCTAATGCAATTCCTTATTAGGTTTGTCATTTTTGCTATTATTCATGATATTAATCATAGAAGCACAGAACAGTTTGGGTAGGAAAGGACCTTCAAGATCATTTAGTTCCAACCCCCTGTCATAGGCAGTGACAACATCCACTAGACCAAGTTGCTCCAAGCCCTGTCCAATTTGGCCTTAAACACTGCCAGAGATGGGGCAGACATAGCTTCTCTGCGCAACCTGTTCCAGTATCTCCCCACCCTCATAGTAAACAACTTCTTCCTAATGTTTAAATCTCCCCTCTTTCATTTTATAGCCATTCCCCTTCGTCCTATCCCTACATGCCCTTGTAAAAAGTCCCTCTCCAGCTTTATTGGAGGCCTATTTCCATACATCAAACTTACTCATCAAATATATACAGCTAGTATTTTCTGAAGAAGGCAGATTGGAAAAAAAGATAGGGAATGGCACAGGGTTACAGCTGCAGTATGTGTCCCACATCATAAGGGTGTTATGGCAACACTGGTATGTGAAAACTGCTTGCACATGAACAAATAGCCATTTTATGAGATTGCTTACTTCCCCTTTCTCAAGTTCTCAATCTTAAACCTTATAAAGTTTAACCTTAAAAGCTTAGAATTCCTCCCTTTTACAGAGTTAAAGTAGGAAATACACAATCAAGTAAACCTAAGAAACTCTACTTTCCTTGAGACCAAACTTACCATACTTGCATCAATGATCTGCCCCTTGCCAGATTTGGTACGTTCATAGAGAGCTGTAATGATGCCCAGTGCACACATGACACCTCCACCAGCAAAATCAGCTAGGAGATTTAAGGGTGCATAAGGATTTTCATCTTTTCTACCCATCTTTGACAGCACACCTGACAGTAGAGCAAAAAAAAACAAGCATAAGCGTAACATTCACTATAAATATTCACTTTTACATTTCTACAAAGTTTCATTCTTTTTCATCTGTGCAAATAAACAAGGGATAAAGCAAACTTCTAACAACAGTTTTCTGTCTCTACTCAGCTGTTTCTTAGCAAATAGTTAATCTTTCATTTGTAAAGCATGTAATATATGAAATCGTATTAGTGAAGATGCATTTAATTAAAGAAATTTTAAAAAAACTCTCAGAAATAAACCACTGGTAATTCAGCTATATACGGACAAAACTTCATCCAAAAGACCTGGTGTGCAATATTACTGCTTTGTACATACATAGAACCTCCCTTGTAAGAACTCAATAGGCATTATGAGCATGTCTCAAAGCAACTTTGGTAAACTGTACTTCTTTTAATCTTTTAAGTAAAGAATACAGATGTAGTCTTCTCGGAAAACCCATCACAACAAATGATTTCACAGCAACAACTGCACTTCAGTACTATCCTCCCTCTTCAATTACCTTGGGAAAAAAAAAAAAAGGTTGTGTATAGGAGGAATGGGTGAATAACACAGAAAGATTACCTCTTATTACATGCAACACAGACACAGAGAACCTGTGTTTACGCAGAAATGGAACGGAATAGAGCAATGACTAAGGCAGTTTACTTCAGATGGAGCTCTTAATCTGCTAGCTTTTCTCTGCCATCCTGAACCACCTCTTTACTGTAACCTTACTCTTTGTAGCTCCCTCCCAGTAATTCCCTTTTGGCTAGCAAGATGCTTTGCAGTATAGCCCCAAGTCTCTTGTGCCTGTAGCCTCAAGTCTGAGACTTGCAGCATACATGGTCAGTCTCCTGAGAACTGCCTGACCTGATGCACTGTTTAGTTAGCTAATGGTGTGATGAACACAAGCACAAGGAACTGAGTGCACAGTATAAAAAAAGCTTTCAAAGCTGCAGTGCAAACAAACCCAGTCATTGACTAAAACCTCACTTTTAATAGTCAAAAGGTCATCACAGGCACCAGCAGATTAATGTCCTAACTTATAGCTGGAGTTTCTAATGCAACCTATTTTTTTTTTATAGTTAAAGAAATCCAAAACTCATCTGGAAAATACTCAGGATATAAGTTCTCTTTTTTGAGGAATGTTACCTCCTAAACACCTTGCCCAATTTCCTTCAAAAAGGCAGAAAAGAACTGTGAAATTTCAAGCAAAATTATTAAATTTTAGGGAGACAGCACTAACCAAAATACTGATTAAATCATCTCCAGAGGAAAAAACAAAACAAAACTCCAAATAACAAATTCACATTTCTTTCCTTTTGTAAACAGAAAGCACTACAATGTGAGGTAGCAACATACTATGCTGTCTCTGTACAGACTCCCTATTCTAATAACAAAGAAAAATGTCATACTACTTTAAAATTACCTGGACATTAAGTCAAAAGTGTTTCAAATGAGGCAACATTCCTGTTACTCTTTTTTTATTCTCTGACAATTTAAATACTTAGAAGACCTTTAGCCCTTTGCTACAGAAATGTAATTCCACTGACTATAGCAGGTGATACTGAATCACCGTATTTGCAGTGCTTCTACTCTGGCTTTTGTTTAGGGCTAAAAGAAATGCTTTATGCAATGGAAAGACAGAAAGAAGTTTTGGGCCACTTCCTCTCCTCCCTCACAGGCTGGGAGAAGCAGCAGAGACAGAAGCAATGCGAACACCAGTCAGTGGGATGATGCATGACACACTGACTGCTATCACCACAGTAGGGTAATTTTGCTATTGTTTGTTACTGCATACTTGAAGGATCATGATACTTAAAAACAACATACTGTCTCCAGCTTAAGGAAACACAAAATTGCCACTTTAAGCCCACCTTCCTTTCACTTGGTACCAATGGAGGGATATTACAGCAGATATGCACAAGAGCTCAAATGGGTGAGGCTGCCTAGTTTTTCTTTGCTCAAAAAAAGCTGCTCACAAACATGAAGAATAATCTGCAGCCTTTTGGGGATTATAAACATACAGATTCTATGGGAAAGAGGCCCTGAAGAATGGCAAAAAAGCATAAAAACTTCAGTCCTCTCTTTAAAGAGAAAAACTTTATTCAGCTAAAACAACACAAAGGAAGGAAAATGCCATACAGCCTCAGAAGGCAGCCACTGTGGCTGCCCAAACTAACAGCCTGTCCAGGCCATGTTTGCTCCTTCCTTTTGCTTTTTTTTTTTTTGCATTTGTTGAATCCCTTAATGAAATGCTTCAACTCCATATCCTGACAGAAAGACATTCTCATTTCTCCTGGCCAGTTTCTAATGTTTGAAGGAGTTTACAGAGGGATTAAGCAAGCACCATAGCTGACTGGGGAGAAAGAAAGAGAGAGATGCAGGGAGAAAAGAAAGAAACTCTCCATTCACTGACAGACACTGCTCAGCTGTTTCATCAGACTAGGTATCAGGTAATTTGAGCTACCTGCAAATAACCTCTCAACAAATTCTTGAGTCTTGATTTAAGAGGGAGAGGTGGAGCTTACTTGTCAGGAAATTTTACAGCCTACCTGATAAAGCCAAAAAATTGATGTCATGACCTGCTGACTCAGCATATTTTCCTGTCTGGCCAAAACCAGTAAGTCTAGCGTAGATGAGTCTGGGATTCTCCTGCAGAAGCACATCTGGACCAAGCCCAAGTTTTTCCATGACACCTTGAAAAGACAAAGACAGAGAATCCTAACTCATATTTATATTTCATAAAACTCAAAGTGTCCGTGGTTCAAAGTTAAATCATTCAACAACAAAACTGAATAGCAATTTATTAAGGAATATATGATAATTCAGTAGCCATATTACAGCAGAACCAACCAGAATGTTATAAATTACCAACATATATAAACACACACACTTTTTTGATACAATTCAATTAAGCAGAAATGAAGCTTTAAGGTCTTTTTTTTTTTTTTTTTTCCCCTTATGGTCCTTTCTTCTTTTCAGATCTTTTTCCTGTTTTACTTCTCCAAAAGACTGCCAGGCAGCTTGTTGTAATCCATGTACTGCTGAATGAGAGAAAGCTACCAAAGGCTTGTTAAAAAGAAAAAAATAAAAAGAGAGAGAGATATAAAGAGAGAAAAGAGCAGACTTTTATATTTTTCACAGTAAAATGACCTGAAATTGCTTTTATCTTTCCCTGGAATATACTTTCTTCACCGTATTAGCCTCTCAGTATTCTGTGTGATCCTGCATCATTCAACTCACTGATGTGGATGAACGATCCTAGCATTCCACAAAATTATTTGTAACAACTGCACAAAAGAAAACGCGTTCTTTTGTAACACAGAGAATCAGGAACCTTCAGAAATCAATGAAATGTAAGTTTGGTCAGCACAGATTTACAGTTAATCAAGGCTAAAATTTTGATCTTACAGCCTCAAATTGTGGGTTTATATGAAGTAAATTCAAATTGCAAATAAATGAAAGATTTTAATTGGCTTAGTGCAGCTTGACCAGACTATGCTCTATAATCTACGCTGGCACTGCAGAGAGACACATTTTGGAGGGGGACAGCATAGTGCTAATGCCTGTTCTACTCCAGAATCTATTACTGCAACTTGTTTCACAGGCTAGCCCATAATATTGCTAAATATTTAATAGATCCTTGAGATCCATTTCCACTGTATTTCTTACTGGGCAGTGACAAGTGATTAATGCCAGGGAGAATTATGCAGTGAAATTTGGTGAAGAGCAGGATTTTCAAAATACAGGTGAGAACTGAGTGCCAAATACCCCCTGGTATTAGAAAGTCATTTTCCAAAGGTCAATAGTACATGTGTATTTAAACAAACTCTCCTGCCACTTGTGTCTTCATCTTTTCATTGGCTCACACTAGGTTCATGCTCAATCACAGATTTGCCTAGCTCAGTTACAAGCCCATAAAGCCTAACGTCCAGTCACAAAATTACCTGCAATTCCAGATTAAAAAACAAAACTAAAACAAAAACCCAAATGCCTACATAACTGAAGAAAACAGAAACTCGCACTAGAAAACAGACAACTAGCTACAATGAAAAATGGGATTTAATGTCTTAATTTTAGTTGCAGAGCTTCTGAGGAACTGAACAAAAAAAATCTTAGGGTAAAAAACATCACAATCATGAACCCATTTTCAGAGCACAAAGCATTATCCATGACACAGGATACGTAAGTGTTATTACAATGTGTGATGTTTAACTGACACAACCTTCTATTTCTCAGCTGACTTCAGAAACCCCAAAACACTTCAGTTAGCTCCTCACTGAAGCATGATCACAGGATGGTCTGTGTTGGAAGGGACCTTTAAAGGTCAACCAGTCCAACCCCGCCTACAATGAGCAGGCCATCTTCAATGACATCTGGTTGCTCAGAGCTCTGTCCAATCTGACTTTGATGATACTTTTCCTAACACAACAGTGTCTTTAAGGAGCAGCACAGATACTGAAATACCCCATGCATAAGCATGAGTGCCTGTGTATGGTTTATAAATGAAGAAAGCATGCTAAATCTGTTGTCTTCAGAGTAATGGAGAAGAGAAAGCTCAGGGCAGACCTTATTGCTCTCTACAACTACCTGAAAGGAAGAGAGGTAGGAGTAGGTCTCTTCTCCCCACTAACAAGCAATAGGACAAGAGGTAACAGCCTCACTCTGCACTAGGGGAGGTTTAGACTGCATATTAGGAAAAATTTCTTCACTGAGAGGCTGCCCAGTGCACTGGTGGAATCACTGTCCCTGCAAGTGTTCAAAAACCGTGTATATGAGGCTCTCAGTGATACAGTTTAGGGATGGATTTCGCAGTCCTTGGGTAATGGCTGGACTTGATGACCTTGAAGGGCTTTTCCAGCCTGAGTCTATGAACCATACGCTTTGAGAGTTGGACCACTACCTGCTACATCTTAGTCACAAGCTAACCTTAAAAATGTAAATTGAGTTGTATCGGCAGGCCTGACAATTACTGCAGGACCAATGCCCACGATCTGTGCACAGCTCCTCAGCTCAGTCAAACCCTTGTGCCATCCAGAACTATTTGTTCAGTGTGTCTGTCAGTGGGGCAAGTTGTTCAGTCAGCTGGCTGGGCACCTTCCACGGCTTCTTCCCTGGGCCGCTGCAGGGCTGCTGCACTCCACAAACCCCAGTACGCCCCGCAGCGGCCTTCACCCGGCATAACCCGGCAGACGCTGCTCCCCTCCCTCAAGCCCCCCAGCACCGCACCCCACGGCCCCCTCACGGCCACGCACGCGATCCCCACCTCCGGGCAGCCCCGCTCCCACTGCCCTACCCCGGTCCTCCCCGGGCCGTCCCCGCCTCACCGTGGCGGAAGGGCTCGATGAGCACGTCCGCCGCGCAGCACAGCCGCCGCAGCGCCGCGGCGCCCGGAGGCCGCTTGAGGTCGAGCGCCAAGGAGCGCTTGCCGCGGCCCTGCACGTCGGTGGACACGGCGGAGCGGGGCGTCCGGTCCACCCGCACCACGCTGGCGCCGAAGTCGGCGAGGATCATTCCGCAGAGCGGCGCCGGCGCCAAGCCGGCCAGCTCCAACACCCTCACTCCGTTTAGCGCCATGGCTGCTGATGTCTGCCGAGCGCCGAGATATCGATCCCCGCCGCCGCTCTGCCCCCGCCGAGGCGGTTCCGGGGATGGGCTCGGCGGCCCCCGCGCCCATGGGTGCCGCGGGAGGAGCGCGCTGGCCCAGGGGGCTCAGGAGGCTCGACTGGCCGCTCGCCAGTGGAGACGGCCTGTGCTGTCCCGCCGCTGCATCGCTAGAGCTCTGTGCTGCCTTGTTTCCCCTCCCTACCCGGGGGGGGGGGTAACAAGAAACAGGTATTCTCCTGCCACACCTCAACCTCTCTTGGTCACACTATGGAGTATTAGGGAAAGAGCTGATTAAAACGTGGGGTGTTTTTTTCACCAGATGTGCTTTCAAACTGTGCTGTCTGATCTTGCTGCGCCTTTTCCTGCTTCATCTTCTGTGAACAGGTCCCTCATTCTCCTCGGGGGACAGAGCCCACCACTGGGGTACTGATGTCTTCAGCAGCCCCTGAGCAGGCTGGTCAGGACAGGGCTGCCACTGGGATCTTAAATAAACACAGATTTTAATCAGATCTTGGTGCTTGCAGTTCACCTGTGCAGAGCCGTTCGGAAGGGAAGACTCTCTGCGGAGGCCATCAGCCATCTGCTGGCCAGGAGTGTTGCGGGGCTTCAGCCAGAAGTGTCTCCTGTTCCCCCTCCGCAGAGCACAGGGGTTTATGTTTGATTAAATCAGGCCAGGTTTAATAAAGCCCGCATTCACACACAGCTGCTGTTTTAGTGCAGCCTGCCAGAAATGGAGCCATGTTTGACTGGAGGCCGTGGTCGTTTTGTTTTTGTTTAGGCTGCTTACAGGACCAGACATCCATCCAGGAGAGGTAATGAAACAGGCATTGAATTAATGCAGCTTTTCGAAACTGTGGCTTGTTCCCCATGTTTCAAGTAGGAGACAGAGCAAAGAGGGCCTTAAAACCAATTCCATGGTCATTTTATGGATTTCTTTAAAGTTGTTGGACTCCAAAAGTGTGTAAGGCTGGAAATAGGAATGCAGAATTTGTTCTAACTACAATAACAAAAGAGGTCTGTTGCCAGAATAGCTGTCATTTTGCAGGTAGGCACCTGGTCCTGCAATGCAGGTAATTCTTCTATCTGTGGCCATGGTGCCACCCACAAGAAATAGTGGGGAGAAAAATATGTGCATTTTCATTCAAATGAAGCTGGTTTGTTTTATTATCCATCTGTCCTACAGACCCTATTCCATGGAAAGGCTTGTTTCCAAGGCATCATCGTGTTACTGGGACAATGCATTTCTTTAAATTATTTTCAGTTTCATTTATCGCCTCTCACCTTTGGGTCTTGGAGTTTGTGTTGAATAGGAACAGGCAATTCTGTTGTGTAGCCTTCTTTCATTTCACCTGCCACTGCTTATATTGTTACATCCAAATAACACCATAATCACGAACACACTCAATAATGTCTGGATTTTGCTATGGTTTAACTGAGCAGCCTTTTGCACTTGTTTTTTTTGTTATCATGCCCCATTACAATGGGTATTCTGTGACAGAAACATTCATGTCAGGACCTTATTAAATTACTTCTGTTTCAGGGTGGTGAGAGCAGCATTTTATGGAAAAAAAATGTATTTCAAGAAACTAAGAAATAAATAGGCATGAGAAAGAAACAGAAATTCCAGTTAACCAAGAGATGAGGCAGATGATTTGAATCCAGTAAACTCTCCTGAACCAGCAAGCTGGCCAGCAGAAAATACATGTTAACAACAAAGAGCAATCCCCTAGCATGGGCTTGCAGTAAAGATGGTACCTATGCAATACCATTTAATCTACATCATTAATAAGCAGCAGCAAGTAGGTGGCTGTGTGGATTCAGGTCTGGAGAGGCAGTGGGAAGAGGAAAGGAGATTGGAGATTAAAACCCCAGTGCGGGTGGCAGGACACTTAGTTGTGTTTCACACCTTGTCAAACTGCTTTGTGAGCTTTATTGAATTACATCAGTCAGCCTGTGTCCCGTGAAATGTTTGTAATTCCTATACTGAAATCAGTGTATTTCGAAGTCATGTTAAAAAAGAAGAATTACATTATATATACTGTGTGTTATATCAACATTTCTTGCAGAGGTACAGGCACTTCTGTGGTACAGGCTGGCTACACTGCATGCCAGACTTTTACAGTTTGTATCAGATTTGTTGTTTAGAAATACTCTGACTTTTCAGTCCTTTGGAAAAACACCTCTGTGTTTTTCAAAAAAAGCAGTGTGAAGTTACAGCTACACACAAAACCTGGATTCTCCCCTTTCACATGTGTACTGTTCGTAATTTAGTCCATCTTAATACATGGTTAAAGAGATACTGGTATCAGTTCAGATAGTATTGGGTGTGTTAAATGAAAAAGCAAGACTTGCTCACTTCTGTTATAGTATTTGAAATCATAATAATTATAATTGCCTTAAAATGCAAATACTAGGTCACTACTTCGGGTGAAACTTATCTAGTCAATTCAAATGTATCAAGATTAATCTGAAGTTGAGAACTTGTTAAGGATTCTCATGAAATTTAAGGTAGTGTCCCAATTTTATCAGAGGTTTCAAGCATGGGTGCTTTATCCCAAGTCTGAATGTATGCTTTGCTTGAATTAAATCTGTGCTCCATAACACTTCTCAATATTCACAATGTACATGATAGTTCCCATTTCTGACCTTACACTGTGTGTTGTGCTGACACACTGTCCTTCCCGCAACACTTTTGTCAAATGCAGCAGCTTAATCTCCACAATTTCAATAAGTTCTTCAGTTTGGAGCATCTCTTTGTTTTTCTGTGTTTCTCTGCTTCTGTGTGAGTATGGGTTTGCATATTATCTGTCTCTCTCTTAAGTGTACATTCCACCACATAACAGCAAAATGTCCCAGAGCAAACCTACCCAGAGATCTATACATCCCTCTAAAGTAGCTGTGAATTTGTGCTTTTTGAAAATCTGGTTGGTTGTCTGAGGTTATGAATTACAGATCTAGACATGAAAGCTCAGTCTCATCCACAGAAAGTAATTGCATAAGCTGCCTTGTGCTGCTTCATTAAAACTGACATATTCTAGAAAAACTGCTCTTTGTGAGTTGTTTAGTCCAGTCATAAGGGTGATGGTCTGTTGGAGCTGCAGTGAATAAGCTTTGCCATTAACTTTCACAGTGCCAGAAATCTGCCTCCTGTTACTCTGTTAAAGTAGGATAACAAATTATTGATGCCTGTGACAGTGATTTTGGTCTTTGGATGTTCACTCTTATACCTGAATCAAAATACCTTTACTTTGTTTGAGTCACTGCTTGTGGTATTGTGCTTTCATGATTTAGATGAAATGACTGGCAGGTAGCTTTATAAAGCTGATCTTTATATTGGCTAATGAGTAGAAAATAAATATTTTCCTAGGAGTTTATTATTAACCAACATTGTAGGGACTGGAAACTCTAGACCACAGGTATTCCCAGGTTTTGTTTGCCTGGATACTGAGCTTCAGCTCTATGCTGGGCACCACACATACTACTGCTTGGCCATCCTGTCCTGAACTTATTTTCAGCAAGCCGTTCCTGCTGGATAGTATGTCCACTGCATTCATTAAAGACAATTTCTCGTGCACTGCTAATGCAATTGCTAAGCCTTTGTTTTTATAAAATATTTTCATCACCTTGCCCCTGAACCATTCAGCTGCACCTTAGCTATGGCATACCTGATTCGTGGTCTTTATTTTGTGTGCCCTTGATAATCTGATAGACATGGGCCATTCTGAAAAGCAGGTAGTCTTGGAGGAAAGAAAGCATTGATCTGAAGTGATGCAGTATCAGAAAGATTTTATTCGAAACAATCGTGCTTCTATTCTTTTATAGGTTAAATGATGATCAAAAATTGAGTTTCATCCAGCACTTTCAGCAGCAGAGCAGGAGTTTTCACATGACAGAATGGCATGCTCCGAATTCCCATCTCCTGGCCTGCAGTTCCTGTCCTTAGGGACTTTCTTGACTCTCATCAACTTAAGCATTCTGCAGGAGCTTGGAGTGGTTTTATTTCAAAGAATTGCTAAGATTGAAAAGGTGAACTCTTAGGATCTGAGAAAATGCTAGAATGAAAGTTGCTGCTGTGAATTTAATTCAGCTGTTCTTCCTTACTCTTTCTGTGGTAATAGGGCTTCATTAACTATACATTTGGAATGAGTTACTGAATGAAGCTGTTTTATATTCATTTCTTGCTATCACATTCTCATCACATACATATGGCCCATGCCTTCATTCAGCAAGCATTATACAAATATACAGTTGCTGCTGGATGAGGCTGAGAAATAGCATGTGACTAGATAATAGGAGGAACATACTGTGGGACACATTCACACGGAGCTGGAGCTAAGATGTCGAAGATGGGTTTAACATGGGTATTTCCATTCTTGGTGTTGTAATAATATGATTCTTTTAAAACGCATTTTGTGGAATTTCTCATGTCTGCATGAGAAAAGCAGAAGGAAGAATCTCCATTTGTGCAATTTTTCACCAGTGAACACAAGAAGTCTCTTTGTTTAACAAAACCTTGCAGCATATGGGTTTTATTATTCTGTGAATGTGCTCATGGAGGTTTCCCTGCTTAGTTCAGATGGAGGTGCACAATATTGAGCCTCTACCACTGACGGCTTTACTGTCTTCATGCAAACCATGTCACGATGTTGGTGATGTGGACAGTGGGATTGAGTGCACCATCAGCAAGTTTGCCAGTCACACCAACCTGTGTGGTTCAGTTGACATGATGAAGGGGAGGGATGCCATCCACAGGGAGCTTGACATGTTTGTGAGGTGGGCTGATGCCAACCTTGTGAAGTTTAACCATGCCAAGTGCAAGGTCCTACACCTGGGTCAGAGCAATCCCAGGCACAGCTACAGGTTGGGCAGAGAAGAGATTCAGAGTAGCCCTGCGGAGAAGGGCTTGGGGGTGTTGGTCGATGAGAAAATGAACATGAGCTGGCTTCAGTGTGCGCTTGCAGCCCAGAAAGCTAACCATATCCTGGGCTGCATCAAAAGGACAGTGACCAGCAGGTCAAAGGAGGTGATCCTGCCCTTCTACTCTGCT